TTCCTGTCTCGCAGTGAGACGTTCCCAGCATTGAGCCAGCTGTCCTGACCGAGCTTCTTGAGGATTTTGCCATTTACCCATGAGAAATTCTGGGTTCGTACCAGAAATTTGTGGTTCGTAGAAACATCCCCATCCTTTCCAGGAAACTCTTCATGATTGACTTACCATTTGATGACCTGCAACTCTATATACCAAGTAAAATTAAACAACACTTAAATTTTTACTGCATGGCAGATTGAGGTCTGATTTCCCCAGGGATCATACGCACTGACAATTCCTGGTCTTTGCTGACCATGTGCAAGTGCGGAATAAATTTTTGAGTTGGTGGAGGGGCGCCCATAGGGTGAATTTCATTATCTGGTGTGCGTTTCTTTTTTAAAGTTTCTGAAGGCTTCAGTCTGTAAGTAGAAATGTCCACACACAGATCTGACCAGAGATCAAACTCAGAGCCCTCTGAATGAGAATACAGAGTGTTATCTCAAGACTGTCTCCTACCTTAAATTATTATTTGCTACGAAGTAAATGTATCGAGCACAAAATTCAGTATTTGTGATTATTCAGGAATTTTGTAACAGACGCGCGTGTATGTGCCCCGAAGATGATGTTCACCTTCAGTTTTGTGCAGGGAATGCTTGAAAATGTTTCATAATGTAAACCTGAATGATGTGTAATCGGTGACGATTTTGTGACAAGTCATTGAGTCAATGATGCTGACTGTTTTTAAGGAATTACATGAAAATGGGCTTGTGTCCATCTGTCTGTTCATGGCCCATTTATATTTTGATGTGTGAATATCGGTTCTCTTTTCTCCCCTGTTGTCATATTTCAGGAAACAGATGAAGGGATGTTGCATGTCTGCAGGGTGCATATGTAGGTCTGCCCTAAAACTTAGTCGTCCTGTGGAGTAATTAAGAAAATGTCAAACAAAAATTTTAGGTAACAAGTCGAAGCTTTTGTGGCTTGACAAGTCTTTTTACTAATCAATGCAGAGGAAAGGTGATAAAACAAACTTACGCCAGCTTCTGCCTTTATCTAGCATCTGTCAAGCTTTGATTGGGTTTTGTCAGTGCTATACTTTTTTCAAAATGTATTGGCATCCCGTGACGTCCGAATTGAACACTGTAAGTGGACGGTGTCTGTGTAGTGCTGATATCTTCTGTCTCTTCCACATCTAGCGCTCCTCTCACAATATCTTCACCCTTCTTGATGCCCCACGGAGGTTGGATCGGCCAGCCGTGGTGGATTCGGCGACGTTCAAAACCGATATCAATAAGGGATTACTTCTGTACCCGTGGACATCCGTTAAAACACGCAGTTCTATTTTTCAGAGGTCTATTTATATTACATAATAATTTGCCTTACATCCTCTTTTTAATCGTACGTTTATGGACCACATTTCAGTAATGCTGAGTCACGTACAGTTATCTCACGACTCATTAGTAAGCGTTGTTGGTGTTATTGTAATGATGAGTAATTATGGTAAAAGTAAAGCAAGTTCTGGTAAGCAGAGGTACCTCTTACTTTGTTTGCAGTGGCAAATGCAGGTATCACATATGTTAAAGGTCTACTAATTTTACATCATAGTTTCTCTGTTTCGTAACAGATGTACTAATTTTCTTGATTTTTCATTCAAAATTGTTTTGTATATTACTTAGTGTAATTTAGTTGTTTGAGTTGGTACTGGTTGTTAACTGATGCTGGCATTGGTACTGCTGTACTTACCTGGTCTGTAGCATTTCAACACTCAGGGTGTGTAATTGTGCAATTCCAAAGCACTTTGTAATACAGGGTGTCAGTGAACGGCTTCTCGAATTGATTTTACGGGGTCCCAGGTCGTTTGAAAATACGACAGATGCCTCATTTCGTCTGATTCTGTTGATCGAGCGTGGACTAGAGGGAGCAGAGCTAAATTAATATCTGTGGCTTCTCGTAATCAAATGGCGACTGGCGTCAACATTTGTCGTAGCATTTACATCAGCGTGTAATGTCTGGGAAGATGAATTTCTCTCGTGATGCATTTGTCGTAAGTCCGTTCACTGTCTATCTCTGAAGTCAGACATTGTTGTTAGTGCTAATTCTTTAGTCATAATTTTTATCCAAGTATTTTCTGTACGGTGAAGTTGATGTCAATGTGTGAAGTATTATGGTTGAGATGTGAAGTTTTAACCTTCATACCCCACTGAGAAGAATTGTGTGAGGTCGGACTGAGTTATTCTCTTGATCTTGGGTAGGTCACGTCCTTCATTTCTGTTTCATGGTGATAAATAATTTGTGGGCTATAATTTTATTTTAATGACCCTTTCCATCCATGAACAAAATTTCTTGCTCAGAAATATGAGTCACTTCTGCTCTTAACATTTTTTGTATTTGAAGTGCGAGTAAACTGTTTGTCTACTGGCAGTTCAAGGTAAGTGACTTTTGTTAATGAAAATTATTTCCTACGATGTAAAGGTACTTTGAAACGAAAGCATTTATTTTCCAAAATAAATTCAGTATGGAAAGGGTCATGTACTAATATAGTCTGGTTTCGTACATTGCAGTCACAAAATACAAATCACTCCCCTTTCCAGTTCGTTCGGTTTCTTTACTGTTTGCTGACGTACTTTTAAGATAAGCTCATCACATTTCCTTCTGTCAGAAATGTAGATTTACGTACTTTTTTCAATGTGCTGTCACAATTTATTTTCTCTCTCCGTAGCAGAGTGTTTTACACATTATTGGTTTTAAATAGAATATTCTTTTGGTTGGTTAAATATGTATGGAAGAAAGCGAAATGATAACACAACTAGACCATAGTGAATCACGCCACTGCAATTTGTACGTAGAATAATGTATCGTGGTAAAATACGACTCCGTGTGGAGTATGAGGGTTAATTATCCAGACACGTTTAATGTCTGTAGTGGCTTGAGGAATTGGTTAGACTTGTTTTTGCGAACTAGAGCATCCTAACAGTGTTTTCTCTGTCGTCAGTCTGGAGTTTAGTCGGAATCTTTGCTAGCATTAAAGAAGTTCTAGGTACCGGATGGATGTGTTAGCATTTCTAGTTGTGTACCTGTAGTAGTGCATATTTGTCATTACCTTACTGTAAATGTTTGCATACCCCCATATTGGGGCTTATAGACTGGATGTGAGAGAAAATGTATATGTGTATGTAATATATATAAATATATTTTTATAGGAAACAACTTCTGTGCTTTTACCGGTTGTATTTTCATCACAGTGACCAGTCAGCTGTTATGAATTAGTTATGAGGTAAGATCCCGGCACTGAGGCATCATGCCGCGGGATACGTCAGAGTAAAATA